CGGCTGGGCCCGTGAGCCATGGCCGCTGAGCCTGCGCGTCCGGAGCCTGTGCTCCGCAACGGGAGAGGCCACAACAGTGAGAGGCCCGCGTACCGGAAAAAAAAAAAAAAGAATATGCTGATTACATGACACACACAAAATGAATCATTTGAATGACATGAACATATGTCAAAAGTTTGAACACTCATTTCTGAATTTCTTTTAATTTCGTTGTTTAAAATGCCCTTCTATACAACATTTTTTAAAAAAACAAGCAGAAAGACTTGATCTGAATGGGGTCTATCAAATGCAAACAGTGGTACTGTTGAAGTGGTAGGTACTTCTAGGCTCCATTATAATTCTTACTATTTAATAGGCAGTATAAAAAATGAAAGTGAGTGTACGTAAAAGGTGAATGTAAAAGCCCTTGCCTGCGAAATATGTTTGGGTTCTTGTACATGGAATGAATGTATCGGGTTGGCCAAAAAGTTCATTTGGGTTTTTCTGTAACATCTTACGGAAAAACCTGAACAAACTTTTTGGCCAACCCAATACTACTCAAATATTAGTAGTTAAGCATACCTGTAATATTTGTTTATCCCTGATTTCATCAACTTAATTAGGTAACTTTTGCTGTTCCGTTTTAGGTGTGAGCACTTTCGATCCATGTTCCAGTCTTATTGGAATGAGGACATGAAGGAGGTGATAGAAATAGACCAGTTTTCCTACCCAGTGTACCGTGCCTTTCTCCAGTACCTCTACACAGATACAGTGGATCTGCCACCTGAAGATGCTATAGGTACCAGCCACATTGGGACTGGCCAGGGCATGGGGTCAAAAATATAACTCCCTGTATTCTTACAGTATTGAAATGTAAAAAGTTTCAGGTTTATTGGTTTTTAAGAAAGATTTGGAGTAAATGCCTTTAAAAACTAGTACTGTATTTGGGAGAGGGATGGACTTAGAGTTTGGGGTTAGTAGATGCAAACTATTACGTATAGAATGGATAAACAACAAGGTCCTACTGTATAGCACTGGGAACTATATTCAGTATCCTGGGATAAACCATAGTGGAAAAGAATATAAAAAAGAATGTATACCTGTGTATAACTGAGTCACTTTGCTGTACAGCAGAAATTAACACAACATTGTAAATCAGCTATACTTCAATAAAAATCTTTTTAAAGATAGTATTGTATAGCTATGGTTAATAATTATGGGCACCATATATGACTGTGGTCTTATTTTACTTTTTTAATACTGAAGTATAAGTTGCTAATGGATTTAGTGTATCATTTTGGAAACAAAATGAGGGGGGAAATTCAATTTTTTCCCCTTCCTTTGTACTACAGAAGAAATTGTATAAAGTGAGTGAGTATAGGAGAGGTATGTTTGGGAGGTGGGGATGGGATGGACTGAAAAAGAGAATTTATTTGATAAAATTCAGTGTTATTCCCTAAGAAGCTTCTGCTGATTTATCTACATAAATCTTCACCAAAATGAAATATATATATTTATAAGTGATTGGAAATTATTGTAACCTCAATTAAGCTTTCCACATTTTACTTTTAGGTCTTTTGGATTTGGCGACATCTTACTGTGAAAACAGACTGAAGAAACTTTGTCAGCACATTATCAAGCGAGGAATCACTGTGGAGAATGCCTTTTCATTGTTCTCTGCCGCGGTCAGATATGATGCAGAGGTAACATAAAATAATAAGCAGAAACACAAACCGCCCTTAACACCCCGTGAGCACGTTTCTCCTTTCTTGTATGAGACAGGAAGCGTGATGAGTAACTTCACTTCTATGTAGGGAATCATTGAACTGACTGACCCCTAAAAAATGAAATCTGGGGCTTCCCTGGTGGCGCAGTGGTTGAGAGTCCGCCTGCCGATGCAGGGGAAACGGGTTCGTGCCCCGGTCCGGGAGGATCCCACATGCCGCTGAGCGGCTGGGCCCGTGAGCCATGGCTGCTGAGCCTGTGCGTCCGGAGGCCGTGCTCCGCAATGGGAGAGGCCACAGCAGTGAGAGGCCCGTGTACCGCAAAAAAAAAAAAAAAAATCTGGCTTGCTTTATTCTCTGTTCATAGTTTCAAAAATGGTTGTTTCTCTACTTACATTTTTACCTAAGATAGGAAGCTAACTGAAGTCCCAGCAGCTATACTGCAGGTTGGAATATAAAGTGCCATACCTAATGGGACTAACAAACAGCATATTTTAGTTTCAAGTATTTCTCCAGGTCAGCTTAATATATTTTTCTCAAGATCCACTTTGCTGTCTCCCCAGCTCTCCCCTGTCGTAAACTAAGGCTGCCCTGTGATTTATAGCTGTGTATGCTCTGAAAATTTTATCATCGTCCAGTTATCACTCACAGTTATTCATGGGTGAAGAGCTTGCTCTGGACTCCTTTTTGTTTGTTTGCTTTTTATATTGGATTGATTGATGGATCTCTAGAGAGTCTCTGAATGAATGGGCTTTTGGGAGTCTTGTGTTTCAGACATTTATGTACATTTTCTTTAGGTTAAGAACCACGATATCATCAGATTGTAAGCTCCCTCTGAGCAGGAACTGTATCTTTATTCATCTGTGTGCCTTGTGCCTGGCACATGATAAATGTTTGTTGAACTGAATGAAGATTGTACCACGTGAAGGATACACGCAGGATAATTAGTGAACTAAAGGCTGGTATGGTTGGTTTTACATATTCATGAAGAATAAAAGTCAAAGAGCAAGAGTTTTGGAGTTACAGATGTCTAGCTAAGGTGTGCACCCTAAATGGAACAATTAGTCTTTCTTATAGGTATTTTGTCACCATATGATGAGGCAGATTACCTGGTATCAGGGAATTTACCAGACACCTGCAAAGATCTGCAGCTGTGGCCTTGGAGATGTGGTGGATAGACTTCATCTTTGTCACATTTGGGGATCGAAATGGACCATTATGTCTTGCATTTTCAAAATGTATCCTAATTTTATTTCAGATTATGTTATGATTATAAATATTTGGTAAGGTCAGATATAGCTGATTTTCTCTGTGACCTTTTCAACAGATGGAATGATGATCAAAGTAAATCATTTCTAATGGGAAATGGAAATATAGTTTTTTTCCTACCCTTTCTTAGTCATCGTGAACATCTTTATTAGAAATGCTGTTTCTTTAGATTTTATTTCTGCCCAATGATGTAATTTTCAATTGGTCCATGGCTTTTCTGTCCATTTGGTGATTGACTTTAGAATCTTCTGTGTCTCACCATACTCCTCCTCAGTGCTGATGAGTTCCATATTCTTGGGATTAGCATCTTGCTGACCAAAACCAGTCAGAACCACATGGGCAAGAGGCAGATATCTCGGCTTGAGTTGCTGGAAATTTCTTCCTCACTTTCAGCTAAAATCTACCCCAGAAAGTTTATAGAAAATGCCTTATTCCACTTCTACCCAGGCCGGTTGATCATTTCCTTCACTAGTTTTCACTTTTCTGATATCAAGTATAGATACATTAAAAGCTGTCCTTTGTTTGAGACCACAAATGCATGTGCTTCCACAGAGTCTGTCACAGTGTGGGCATATAGTTGGCACTCAGAAATGTATGTTGAGTTAAATGAACGAATGAATGTGTAATATTTGCAACACCTCACCATGAAGTTCTGCTTTTTTAAAAAAAATGTAAAAACAAACAAACAACAACTCACAACCCCGCAAATATTATACATTCACTGTAGAAAAATTAGAAAATAGAAGGCAAAAAGTCTTCTTTCTAGGTTGTATGGTTTTGATTGTGTTGGGAGTTATGTTAATCGACTAATGTAGCTTTACGTTTTATTTCCTTAATACTGTAGAATGTAGAAAGTAAATAAATGAAGTCTCTAGAATATAAAAATAAAACGCACTTACTATATCTATTAGTTGATGGGAAGCTGCTCCTAAAACAGATTGGAAATTAGCTGCAAAATCCGTTGTTTTCAGAAATTGAACTTGGGGACCCTACTGGACTTTCCCTTCACTCTGTTGGTTGAAATGCTGGGAGGATGGAGACTACCTGCCTTTCATGTTTCTTCTCTTTGCTATAAAAATTACTGTGGTTCCTCCATGCCTCCTTTTTTTTTTTTTTTTGTGGTACGTGGGCCTCTCACTGTTGTGGCCTCTCCCGTTGCAGAGCACAGGCTCCGGACGCGCAGGCTCTGCGGCCATGGCTCACGGGCCCAGCCGCTCCGCGGCATGTGGGATCTTCCCAGACCAGGGCACGAACCCACGTCCCCTGCATCGGCAGGCGGACTCTCTACCACTGCGCCACCAGGGAAGCCCCATGCCTCCTTTTAACAAGAGAATTTTGAAGCAAATGGACATACATAAAAAGAGCAAAAATGTATTGACTCAGTAGTTGTGGAGATTTTAAAAAGTAAGCTAATTGTTGTGGAACCCTTGCATTATGAATGCATTGTCAAATTTTCTGCACGTTTTTATAAAGAAGGACTTGGAGAAGGAGCATTTAAATATTCCTCTAGTACAAACTTGAATAAGTATCGACATCAAGGGAGAAAAATGCATATACAACATTGTCTTGTGATAGTTCTGATCACATTATGAACATTTTGAAATGCTTCTATTTATACTGTTTCTTTTCAGGAGATTTTTGTTTTCTGTGTCTATTTGAACATTAGAAGAAACAGTTTTTTTGTTTAACCGGAGTAGAGAACTTTCCAGAAAATCCTTTCTGAGCAGCTATGTCTTAAAATTTTGCATTTGGTGGGAAGCAGTAAATATGAGCCAGGAATCTAATTCCAAAATTGATTTGGGATATGAGTATTGGAAAGCTTCGTGCTAAAGCCAGATGGTCAGCATTTATTTCTTTTTTCAAGGGGTTAAATTAAAAGTTTTTTGTGATCAATAGACTGTAAAATACTTTTTGGGTAGTGAGAGAAGGCACCTTTAAAATTTTTTTCCAGTATAGTGAGACACTTAAATACATTCTAAAAAACAAAATCAAAACCTACTTTGATGTGGAATATTTTGTACTTGATATGCAGTTGACCCTTGAACGATGCAGGGATTAATCGCGTATAACTTACAGTCAGCCCTCCATATCCCTGGTTCGTCTGCATCTGTGGATTCAACCAAACTTAGATCCTGTAGTGCTGTAGTATGTACTATTGAAAAATATCCTGGGTAAGTAGACCCGTGCAATTCAAACCTGCATTGTTCAAGGGTCAACTGTACCATCAGGTGAATTCGAGACTATAGTGTTTGGGTTTTGTTATCTAATTATTTTAACAACACGTTTGGACAGTTAGGTGTGGTTCTCGGTATCTGCCATCTGAAATGTGTCTCAAGGGTGGCCTGTGACACAGAGGTCTCACCCTGGCCAAGTGTCCTTCCACAGGAAGTCTTAGCACTCTCATGTATTTTAGATTTTAAGGCTGGATAAGAACTCCGTTGAAGGCTACATTAGCATTTTTAAAATGTGGATATTAAGACCATCAATTCTCTGTGTTTCGTTTCTAAAGAAAATCTGTGGAAAGGAAAAACAACTTATTTTCAGAGTGTGTATAGTGATTGGAATAATTTAATTTAAATGCTTAAAGATTTGGAGCAAATTTGTAAATTTAGAATAGCAATATTTTATTTTGATCTTCCTTACTAATTATAACAAATCTGATATCTGATTTGCCCCAGAGCCACTTTACAATAATTTCACCACAGAATGTCATAAACATGGACTTTGGTTTCTAAAACACCAAGAATACCATATTAGACTCCTTGATTTTACACCCTTCCCCACTTTCTTATTCCATGGCCTTGAGAAAACTCTTAGGAACTTTTTTCATCTACTGGTCAAGTGGTCCTTCTCATCCTTCTTAGAAATTTTTTTTTTTAAGCCCAGCAGTCCTGTTATAGTTGACTTATTAGTTGGGTAAGAGTTGCATTTTCTTCTAGGTAATTGAAGATCTGATCGTTTGCAGCATGAGGTGAACAGATCATGTAGGTTTTTATAGTATTTAAGAATTATCAGAAGGGTGTCTACCTGATCCACACGTCAACATCAATAGCACACTGGCTCAGGTTGCGAAGTGAATGTGCTTGGCTGTGCCACTCTCTGGTTCAGGCAAATGAATGTGCAAATTCCAGTTTCTCTCTTCAAGTGTGTTCAATGCTTCCTTTTCCCAAGTTCTGCCTTATCCAAGGTGTAATTAGTTATTTAAACAACCCAGATTTAGATTATTTTCAGTATTCTTGAAACTGTTAAACATTTGTTGAATACAGTTGACCCTTGATCAACACAGGTTTGAATTGCACAGATCCACTTACATGTGGATATTTTTCAATAGTAAATACTACAGTACTACATGATCCACAGTTGGTTGAACCTGCGATTGTGGAGGGCCAACTATTAATTGTACTTGGATTAACCCCTGTGTTTTTCAAGTATCAACTGTACTGAGAAATCTTTCCAAACTAATTGGAGGGGAAGGGAAGGCAGTTTGATAAAACTATTTTCATAGGTATATGAACTGATTTGTAATTAGAAGCACCATTTGTATACCTGTACCAAGTTTATACTCAAGGTAATCTATACAGTTAGTAAACTGAATAAACTCACTTTTTCATTATACTACAAAGGTCTTTAATTCCAAATAAACAGATATAGAAGTGGTAAGGTTTTGTAGTGTCAGAATTTAGTGCCCTCTCTTTCTCCTTTGAATTTGAAATTATATAATTAAAACTTAATATTTAAAGATCCTTATCTGATACATTACATGGTTTGAAGAACTTTTTGTGCTATGACTGGCTCCTTCTTCCTGAGTTATATGTAGATAAACTAGTTTTCTGTTTTTGATAAGATTAAAATATGACTTTCATCTTTCCATGGGATATAATTTAGTCCCTAGAGCTATTTATTAACCATTGGGTTATGATACCAGGAGTAGTGCTTTTTCTTTAATAATAATGTGAGAGAGAGGATGTTTTCTATTGTTTAACATTTTAGTTTATTGTAATACACCCGAGCATTCAGCTGTCCATTCACCCCACTGGGAATCCATTCACCCCACTGGGAATCTCTTATTAAAAAACATGGATTCAGGGCTTCCCTGGTGGCGCAGTGGTTGAGAGTCCGCCTGCCGATGCAGGGGACACGGGTTCGTGCCCTGGTCCGGGAAGATCCCACATGCCGCGGAGCGGCTGGGCCCGTGAGCCATGGCCGCAGAGCCTGCGCGTCCGGAGCCTGTGCTCTGCAACGGGAGAGGCCACAACAGTGAGAGGCCCGCGTACAGCCAAAAAAAAACAACAAACAAACATGGATTCAGGTATTGTGCTAACGTTTTAAATGCATTTTCAATTATCTGGAGAATAAAACTATGGCAGTAGCTGGCTGAGAGACATTAAATGTGGTTTATCTCTTACTAGTTATATGCCTGGAGGGGAGGGACGAGAGACTCTTAGAATAAGGAAGTATTTGTTTGCAGGGGTCTGAAAGGGGTGTTTCTGTATGCGGACGCGGCCCTTTCCCACCCTGCCTAAAATTCTCATTTGGTGGTGGCTGGGAAACACGAAGCCAAGACCCTACAGTTTAACAGTTGTTGAGATCCTAGTTTGACAGAACCCTGAGTACTGACCTTCAGTATTGTTGGCCACGTTACAGAAACTGAGCTATTCGACTTCATCTTTGTGTACATTCCAGGTACCTAATTGATTTAGTAAATATGTTCCACTTTTTTTTTTTTAATTAACTTATTTTATTTTTGGCTGTGTTGCGTCTTTGTTGCTGCGCAGGGGCTCTTTCTAGTTGCGGTGAGCAGGGGCTACTCTTCATCGCAGTGCACGGGCTTCTCATTGCGGTGGTTTCTCCTGTTGTGGAGCACGGGCTCTAGGCATGCGAGCTTCAGTAGTTGTGGCTTGCGGGCTCTAGAGTGCAGGCTCAGTAGTTGTGGCGCAAGGGCTTAGTTGCTCCGCGGCATGTGGGATCTTCCCAGACCAGGGCTCGAACCTGTGTCCCCTGCATTGGCAGGCAGATTCTTAACCACTGCGCCACCAGGGAAGCCCCTGTTCCAATGCTTGAAGGGACAAACAACAATATAGTAGAGTTTTGCTGGAGATGAAAGCATGTCTTAGCATAGGTAGAAATAGATCTTTTTTTAAAAATTTATTTTTATTTATTTTTGGCTGTGTTGGGTCTTCGCTGTGTGCGCGGGCTTTCTCTAGTTGCAGCGAGCAGGGGCTACTCTTCGTTGTGGTGCGCGGGCTTCTCATTGTGATGGCTTCTCTTATTGCGGAGCACGGGCTCTAGGCACGCAGGCTTCAGTAGTTGTGGCACACGGGCTCAGTAGTTGTGGCTCGTGGCCTCTAGGCACACAGGCTCAGTAATTGTGGTGCACGGGCTTAGTTGCTGCGCGGCATGTGGGATCTTCCCGGACCAGGGCTTGAACCTGTGTCCCCTGCATTGACAGGCGGATTCTTAACCACTGCGCCACCAGGGAAGGCCAGAAATAGATTTTTAAATTGTTCTGGTTTGCCACTTGTGTATGTTACTCTCCCTCTGAATGTTGGTAGTTGGTAACTTCCATTTATCTAACTGAAAAGTCAAGTCTCTGTGACGATTCTTTTGTGGATTGACTATCCGAGAAATTAGCATGGTGGAAGTTGTATATTATTCTTTGTGGCTTTAAAAATGAAGGCATTTTTATATAGGAGAGCATGAAAGTGAATTTAAGGTCTTTGGAAGTTTTATTTTTAATGTGTCACTTTAGGTTGACCATTTCTCTTCATCACTTTTCTGTTTCTTAAAGTCTTCTCTTCCTTGGGCCAAATGATCCACATCTTAATTCTTTTCTCTGACTTCTTGAATGTGGTAAAACATATGATATGGACAAAAGTTGTTTCAGCTTTTTAAAACCATGTCTTTGAGTGACTAGACTATGTGATAACCATGAGGAAATCACCCCCCACTGTGTGTGTGTGTGTGTGTGTGTGTGTGTGTGTGTGTGTGTGTTTTGAAGAGTCAGACTTGAGTAGGGGAACCATTGCTTTTACTGTGTGGTGAGTAAATAGTTTGTATTTTTCTGACATGTACCTGTGGTCACTTGTTTGCCTAGTTTGAGGTTTCTAGCCTCAAATCTCTTCTGGGGGAGGGTGAGGGAGCTGGAGAGAAGTAATTCAAAGTTAATTAAAAAAGGCCTCTTCTTGTTTTTATTTTTGTTGTGTGTGTCCAGGATTTAGAAGAATTCTGCTTTAAGTTTTGCATCAATCATTTGACAGAAGTTACACAGACTGCAGCATTTTGGCAAATGGATGGCCCTCTGCTAAAGGAATTCATTGCTAAAGCCAGTAAATGTGGAGCCTTTAAGAACTGAAGCCCAAGACTGCTGGGTTTTGTGTGAGTGCTCTGGGGCTGGTGATGGTGTGTCGTTTGTGCTCTATGGGTGATGTAATTCTGCAGGTAAAAGAGCCCATCAGGTTGATTTGCTCACATGGAGATACAGTAAGGATACAGGAAGGGTGTACGGCTTTTCCTGAACCCATTTTAAACAACCCTTATTTCCAGATGTGTATATTTTAAATGTGACCTTAACGTTTGGCTGGGACATTGTAAAAGGGTGAAAGTCTAGCTGGTTGTTTGTTTTTTGTTTGGTTTGGTTTTGATTAGAGGAGCTCCTGAAGTTGGAAAGGGGGCTTTGCGGCAAGTCTCCTGGCTTGCATATCGGCACCCCTTTTGACGCCAGGAGTTGGGATAGGGTGCCAACTGTGAGAGATGTAGAGGCCCCACTGGGAATGACAGATGCTGACTTGGGGGCTTGTTGAAGAGCTGCATTAGTTGCTACTTCAGTGGCTTCACTGTGAAGGAATAGTTAAGATTGTCTGAGGCTTTTGTTTGTGTATTTGCATTATTGATGACTTTTTTAACTTCAAAATAATATTCAATTTAATAGAAGCCTATTGAAATGATAATTATGTGAAGATGAATTTCTAGGTTAGTCAGGGTTTCTCTTAAGACTTAAGTACATAAAGAGTAGTAATGTAGAACTATCTGTGAAAACTTGATAATGAAAGAAACTTCATTTGGGTGAAAGTGGATATTTTGCAACTCAGAGTCTCCACTACTAACAGCGTTTTATTAAGGTTAAATTTGAGAACCCAAATTTAAATCCCCCTACCTTTTCTCCTGTAAATGCTAATCACATAAGAGGAAAATAGTGATATATTTAATGTACTCTTGCCTTCCTGAATTGTGGTTGCTGAATCATCAGATCTGCTACGTCTGACTCAAATAAGTGGTTCTTAAAACCAAGTTTCTTACAGGACTTAATAGAATTTGTTTTTATCCATTTTTATCTATGCCAAATGCTGTCACACATTTTGCTTATTTGAAATGTCACCAGCTTTCACATTTGATTTTCCTTTCCTTTTAATTGTGTTAGGTAACTTTGAAAAAGGATCTAAATTATGAGGGCGTTTTTTTGGTCTGGTTATGAAATGTGACTTTGGGAAGTAAGAGTGTTCAACTCTGAGTTTTATCATGTGTGCCCGTTGAGCTTGCTTCAAGAACAAAGCTTTGTTCTGCTCTCTGGCCCACGGACTCATTTCCATTCGTGGGGGCTCCTTTAGTGAACTGTTTCATGTTTGGAAGGTCCTCCATCTGAATTTAGAGACCGAATCCATTTTCAGACCCCAATTAAAAAGAGGGTGAAGAGATGCTGCAGCTACTGTTTTTAGCAATGTTTCTAAGTGTATATTGTGGTGGGGGGGTGAGGGCCCAAAGACGGAAATTCATTGATAGGGGAAATAAACCCGGAAGTCTCAGCCCCCTTTTCTTGACCATGTTGCAAGTGATCGAAGCCCAATGAGTTATTAGGTTAGAATTAGTTCTGCAACATAATAGAATTTTCTTACTAGGTTGATAAATGTACATTAATTTGATTATTAGCTATGATGGGTAGTGTTTCTAACAATCGCTGTCTATAGGCTGATCTGGACAAAACAAGAACTTCAGTAAGTTTACTATTGCTCTTACTTGAAAAACAACTTTAAAAAAGCACAAATTAACATAGATCCATTTCCATAGATAGTTCATTCACTAAACAAATATTTACTGAGTTCCCAATAGGTGAAGAACCACTTCTCATATTAGATTACTGAGTAATTTGTATGACTATATTTTCAGTGAAGAGAACAGAAAAAAGTCTCTCAGAAAGTACTTGAGTATCATCTTGTGTTGTTTTTTTTTAAAAAAAATATGCTCTCTTATTTTTCTACTTGGTTTTGTTGTTAATCATAGCAGGAGATGAAAACTATTCTTTGAATTGTTTTTTTCATCTGATATAATAATGAAAGCCAAAGTATTGGTATTTCTTCACATAGCCCTAAAATGTACTCTTGAACTTCCTACTGGAACAAGGTTTGATACGCTAGTTATATAGGTTGTATATATGTAATGTTTGAAGTGACATATTAATAAATAAAGCAGTCTGTTAAAATAGGCATGTAGAGTTATTTTTTCCCTCTCAAAAATCAATAATATGGCAGCCTTAAAAGGGAAGGAAATTCTGACACATGCTGCAGCTTGGATGAACCTTGAGGACATTATGCTAAGTGAAATAAGCCAGCCACAAAAGGACAAGTACTGTATGATTCCATTTACATGAGGTCCCTGGAGTAGTCAGATTCATAGGAAGTAGAATGGTGGTTGGCAGGGGCTGGGAGAAAGGGTATGAGGGATTATTGTTTAATAGGTACAGAGTTTCAGTTTTGCAAGATGGAAAGAGTTCTATGCGTGGATGATACACAACAACGTGAATGGACTTAACGCTACTGAACTGTACACTTAAGCATGGTTAACATGGTAATGTGTATTTTGCCAGTTTTAAAAAAAAAAACCAGTACTGTGATTCTTGGGTATCAGACTAAAAACAGGTACCACCATGAGCATGCTGTTTCTCAATTATCCTCCCCCCCCCCAGAAGATATGCTTTGGTTTTATTCCTGCCGAAAGATACTACAATTGAACTGTCACAGTAGAAAAACGTATCTGGATCCTTTTGGGGACTTATAAATGAAGGGAGAGACATGGTCCCTATCCTCAAGGAATGTAAAAATTATTGGGAGGGAGGAGAGAGGTTTAGGAATTAACAACATAATAACATTTATAAACAGCTTTTCGTAAGTCATCGAGAGGAAACCCAATAGGGTTAGTATGAGAAGCAGTTGTTCTGAAGGTCATGTTTGTGCAGCATAGGGGGCAGCACAAATATCCTTTTGGCTCATTTCCAAAACAACGGTAAGTGGCCCAAGCAGAGGCTTAGAGGTGGGGAATAATGAGCCTTCCAGAACTTTACCATAAGCAAGTTTGTTTGTTTAGAATGGGAAAATAAACCAGGCCCCCTCTGGCGGAAATGTTGGCAAGGGGAGGGCATGTGTCTGTGTGTGTGGTGTGGATGAGAACATTCATTTCCCACAGTGCCAGGCATTTTAATGCCCTGTGCTTCACACGCATTTTCTTTTTTAGTGCCCGCATTTTGTACCATAAAGTAGGCCGAATTAGTCTCATATTAAGTAATTTTTTCAGCAGTGACACAGCTAAAGTAAAAATCCAGGTCTGGGGCTTCCCTGGTGGCGCAGTGCTTGAGAGTCCGCCTGCCGATGCAGGAGACGCGGGTTCGTGCCCCGTTTCGGGAGGATCCCACATGCCGCGGAGCGGCTGGGCCCGTGAGCCATGGCCGCTGAGCCTGCGCGTCCGGAGCCTGTGCTCCGCAAATGGGAGAGGCCACAACAGTGAGAGGCCCGCATAACGCAAGAAAACAAAAAAAATCCAGGTCTGTTTTAATTTGCCCGATATTTGCCACTTGATGACAAATACTTGTTGCTTCCTTGTGCTGAGTTACCACCATGAATGGTGAAATTTGAAAGTAAAGTGGTGGACAGAGGGGTTTTTTTAAGAAATAAACATCATGACATCAGAACTATTACTCAGATAAGCTTTGCTATAGGATGTAACATCAGGGAGGGAAGCTGAAGTTACAGCATCATCTAGACCAGGGGAAATCTTTATTCAGTGGGTCTGGGATGGAGTCTTGGTTTGTTTGTTTTTTTTAATTGAGGTATAGTCGATTTACAATATTATCTTAGTTTTAGATATACAGCATAGTGATTCAAAATTTTTATAGATTATACTTCATTTATAGTTATAAAATATTGGCTGTATTCCCTATGCAATACAGTATATCCTTATAGTTTATTTATTTTATACATAGTAGTTTGTACCTCTTAATTCCCTACCCCCACCTTGCCCCTCCCCTCTTCCCTCCTCCCACTTGTAACCACTAGTTTGTTCTCTGTATCTGTGAGCCTGTTTTTTTTTTGTTATACTCAATAGTTGGTTTTATTTTTAAATTCCATATATAAGTGATAACATACAGTATTTGTCTTTCTCTGACTTATTTCACTAAATATAATACTGTCCAGGTCCATCCATGTTGCTGCAAATGTCAGAATTTCTTTTTGTTGACTGACTAGTACACACACACACACACACACACACACACACACACACACACACCCCACATCATCTTTATCCATTCATCTGTTGATGGACACATGGTTGCTTCCATATCATGGTTATTGTAAATAATGCTGCTGTGAACATTGGGTTGCACATATCTTTTCGAATTAGTGTTTTCATTTTCTTTGGAGATATACCCAGGAGTGGGATTGCTGGATCATATGATAGTTCTATTTTTATTTTTTTGAGGAACCTCCATACTGTTTTCCACAGTGACTGCACCAATTTACATTCCTACCATTAGGGTACAAGCGTTCCCTTTTCTCCACATCTTTGCCAACATTTGGTGGTATTTATGGTCTTTTTATTTATTTATTTATTTTGCCACTTTGTGCAAGTTGTGGGATCTCAGTTCCCCAACCAGGGATTGAATCCGGGCCACAGCAGTGAAGGCAGTGAATCCTAATCACTAGACTACCAGGAAGCTCCCCTATTTGTGGTCTTTTTGATGATGGCCATTCTGACAGGTGTAAGGTGATATCTCATTGTAGTTTTGATTTGCATTTCCCTAGTGTTAGCAGCGCTGAGCATCTTTCTGTGTGCCTGTGGGCCATCTGTTTGTATGTCCTCTTTGGAGAAATGTCCATTTGGGTCTTCTGCCCTTTTTTTAATCTCGTTTGTATTTTTGATGTTGAGTTGTATGAGCTGTTTATATATTTTGGATATTAACCCTTTACCAGTCGTATCATTTGCAAATATTTTCTACCATTAAGTAGGTTGTCTTTCTGTTTTGTCAGTGGTTAATGTGTCATTTAAGGCCAGTGTTTCCTTATTGATTTTCCGTCTGGATGATCTGTCCATTGATGTAATTGAGGTGTTAAAGTCTCCTACTATTATTGTGTTACTGTCAGTTTCTCCCTTTATGTCTGATAATATTTGCTTTATGTATTTAGGTGGTCCTGTGTTGAGTGCATATATATTTACAATTGTTACATCTTCTTGGATTGATCCCTTGATCATTATGTAATGTCCTTCTTTACGGTCTTTTTTTTTTTTAATAGATCTTTATTGGAGTATAATTGCTTCACAATACTGTTAGTTTCTGTTGCACAGCAAAGCGAATCAGCCATATGCGTACACATGTCCCCATATCCCCTCCCTCTTGAGCCTCCCGTCCATCCTCCCTCTCCCACCTCAAAGTCTGTTTTGTCTGGTACAATATTGCTAACCCCCGCTTTCTTTTAATTTCTATTTGCATGGAATGCCCCTTCCCATCCCTTCACTTTCAGTCTGAATGTGTCTATAGCTCTGAAGTGAGTCTCTTGTAGAAAACATGTGTACAGGTCTTGTTTTTGTATCCATTCAGCCCGTCTGTATGTCTTTTGATTGGAGCATTTAGTCCATTTACATTTAAAGTAATTATTGATATGTATGTAGTTACTGCCATTTGTTAATTGTTTTGGGGTTGTTTTTATAGTTCTTTGTTGTTCCTTTCTTCTTCTTTGTTCTTTTTCCTTGTGATTTGATGACTATCTTTAGTGCTATGTTTGGATTCCTTTCTCTTTTTTGGCTGTGTATCTATTATACATTTTGGGTTTGCAGTTACCATGAGGTTTTTGTATGGCAGTCTGTATATATTTATGTGATTATTTTAAGTTGCTGGTCTCTTCATTTCAAATGCATTTTAACAGCCCGACATTGGTACTCGCCTCCCCTCATGATTACTGTGTTGGGCATCATATTTTAAATCTATTTATTTTGTGTATCCCTTAACTGCTTATTGTGGCTATAGACAATTTTACTACTTTTGTCTTTTAACCTTCCTGCTAGCTTTGTTCATGGCTGATTCCCTATCTTTACTGTATGTTTTGCCTTTACCGGTGAGCTTTTTCTTTTCATAATTTCCACGTTTCTAATTGTGGCCTTTTCTTTCTCACTAAAAAATTTCCTTTAACATTTCTTGTAAAGCTGGTTTGGTGGCACTGAACTTCTTTCGCTTTTGCTTGTCTGTAAAACTTTTGATCTCCATCAGATCTGAACGAGAGCCTTGTCAAGTAAAGTATTCTTGGTTGTAGGTTTTTCCCTGTCATCACTTTAAATATATTGTGCCACTCCCTTCTGGTCTGTAGAGTTTCTGCTGAGAAGTCAGCTGATATCCTTAATGGAGTTTCCTTATAAGTATTGATAACTTGTTGCTTTTCCCTTGTTGCTTTTAATATTCTCTCTTTATCTTTAGTTTTTGCCATTTTAATTATAATATGTCTTGGTGTGGTCCTCTTTGGGTTGATCCTGTTTGGGACTCTGTGCTTTCTGGATTTGGGTGACTGTTTCCTTTTCCAGGTTAGGGAAGTCTTTAGCTACTGTGTCTTCAAATATGTTCTCAGGCCCTTTCTCTCTCTCTCTTCTCTTTCTGGCATCCCTGTAATGTGAATGTTAGTATGCTTGTTGTTGTCTCAGAGGTCTCTTAAACTGTCCTTATTTCTTTCTATTCTTTTTTCTGTTCAGCATCAGTGATTTCCACTACTCTGTCTTCCAGCTCACTAATCTGTTCATCTGTGTCATTTAGTCTATTTTCGATTCCTTCTAGTGTATTTTTCATTTCGGTTATTGTATTCTTCATCTGTTTGGTTGTTCTTTATGTTTTCTAACTCTTCTTTAAAAACTTCTAACTTCTTGTTCTGTTTATTCATTTTTATTCTGAATTCTTTGATCAACTTTATGATCATTACCTTGAACTGTGTCTCCACTTATTTCTTCTTCTGGGGTTTTATCTTGTTCTTTCGTTTGGAACATATTCCTTTGTCCCCTCATTTTGCCTAACTTACTCTATTTATTTCTATGTGTCAGGTAGGTTGGTTATGATTCCTGACTTTGGAAAAGTGGCCCTTTGTAGGGGATGTCTTCTGTGTCCCAGCAATGCACTCCCCTCTCGTCACCGGAGCTATATGCTATAGGGGCACCCTCCATGTGGGCTGCGTGGGTCCTTCTGCTGTGGTGGGCTGACTACTGTGGGCAGCCTGGTGGGTGTGGCTGGCCTCTGGTCTGATTGGTTGCCAGGCCCTGCCTTGTATGGAGGAGCCAGCCACTGGTTGGCAGAGTGGATCATGAGGTAGCCAGCTGTGGAACCCTGGGAGGCTGGCCCTGGGGCTCGTGCCCTGGGGCTCGTGCTGGCTCACTGGAGCCAGGAGTCAGGTCCATGAGATCTGGGGCTGGTTCCCACCCACTGGTGGGTGAAGCCAGGTCCTGGGGTCTCACTGCAGGGCCCAGGGGCTCCAGAGCTGGTGTCAGACAGCTGGCAGGTGGGGTCATTTCCTGACACAGCTGGCTGCAGGACCTGGGGTGTCTTGAAACTTGTGTTTACCTCCTGGTGGGCGGGGCCTGGGCTCAGGTGGTCCCAGGACTGGTGCTGGCCTGTTGGTGGGTGGGGCTGGGGCCCAGGGGATTCTAGGGCTGATGCCTGCCCACTGGTGCACAGAGCTGGGTCCCAGGGTGTCTGGGTCTGTTGTCTGTGCACTGGTATGTGGAGTTGGGTCCTGGGCCCTCTGGTGGGCAGGGCTGTGTCCAGGGACGGCTGTGGGCTCAGGGGGTCTTAAGGGGGTGTGTATGCTCCACCCCAGTTGTTCTGCCTGAAGTATCCCGGTACTGGTACCTATAGGCTAGTGAGCAGGGGCACAGCTGGATCCTGAGACTAATAAGCTAGAGGGAGGATTCCAGAATGGCACTTGCAGGCACCAGTGTCTGTCTCCATGGTGGAATGTGCTCCCAGAAATGGCCGGTGCCAGTGTCTTTGTCCCCAGGGTGAGCTCCAGTTGCCTCCTCCTTCCCTGGGAGACTCGCCACGATCAGTAGGTAGGTCTGTCCCAGGCTCCTTTCAAATTACTTCTTCTGCCCTGGGTCCTGGAGCATGAGTGTTTGGATGCACCCTTTAAGAGTGGAGTCTCTATTTTCCCCTGCCCTCTGGGACTCCCAAAGGTAAGCTCCACTGGCCTTCAAAGCCAAATGTTAACGGGGCTTGTCTTCCTGGCACAAGACCCTTGGGTTTGGGGATCCAGATGTGGGGCTCAGACCCATTGTTTGCTGGGAAGAACCTCTGCAGTTGTGATTATTCTCCCATTTGTGGGTTGCCCACCCAGTGGTGTGGGTCTCGACTGTATTGTGTTTCTGCATCCCACCCCACCCCCTGTCTGATTGTGGTTTTCTTGGTATCTTTAGTTGTAGATCTTTTCTGTTGGCTTCGGTCTTTTTGATCCATAGTTCTATAAATAGTTGTAATTTTGGTGTGCCTGTCAGATGAGGTGAGCTCAGAGTCTGTCTACTCTGCCATCTTCTAAAATCTTTTTTTGGCTTCCGTAGTTTTTTAAGTGCCTCAGGTGATCCTGATGTGTAGCCAAATTTGAAAACCACTGAGATTTTGCCCCTCAGTTATTAATGACTTGGGCTGGGGTTGCCATTACAACAGGAATGGACATGTTCTTTCGTTTACATCATATTCTTCAGCAGATATTGAGCATATTATGTGCCAGATACCATGTTGTTGGAGACTCAGATCAAACTCATGTTGAAATATGTAGCACTACTGTGGATCAAAGTAGTGTGGTACAAAAGTAGAAATGTGAAGTTTTCAGAGGTCAGACATGGTAGTAGGGCATACAAATCTTAATTGTATATTGTTAGGTTGAGAAAAACCTTCAAAGAGACCATCCAGTTTTAAATGTTTGTTTTGAAGATGATGTTATGCCCATGTGCTGTGGCTGAAGAGAAATTTAAAAAACACACAGGTATGTTGGGTACAGGTATAACATTCAGATTTATTATATCAAAGAAGCATTAACGGGCTGGAACTAGTCTCAAAAGATAAAAACAGTTTATGCATTTTTTCAACATTTATTGAGCACGCTAGCTGCTGGGAATGTGATAGGAAAACACAGGAATAGTGAGTTTCTGTCCTCAGACTGCTTATACTCCAGTGGTTTGATGTATGATAGAGTGGCTTACACCGAGAAAGGGATATGAAGAGAAAGTACTCTCAGATGCAATAGGTATGAGGGCATCAGCAGGAGGAGCAGTGAAGACTTCACAGCAGGATGTGCAAAGGCCCTGGGGGCAGGAGCACCTGGAATCCACTTAGCTCACTGTAGTGGGGGTGGGGGAGGCGGGATCTAAAAATCTAAAAATCCATCAAAGGATTTTTAGAGCGATGGGAGGCATGGCCCAATTTACTCAAGTAGAATCAGAAATATTTTACTGGGGGGGAGGGGTAGAAGTGAGATGATGATGAGGAAGAGGAGGCAATAAAAAGGAATTAAGATGCCGAATCAGCAAGAACAGTTAAGGGCTGGTGAGGATCAGAGTTTGAGGGCCAGAGAGACACGAGGGCCCTAGTGCTAAAGATGTGCAGCTTTCACAGGCCTGTCTCCAGCTTTCAGCCTGTCCAACTGTGCTTGATTCCTGGCTTAGGAAATGGCCATTCTTAAGAAGACAGAGAAGAATCTGAAGTAGAACTTGGCTGAAGCTCAGAGCACAAGGTTTGTTTCAAGTCCTGAAGTAGCTCAATCTCGTCCTTCAGCTGCTGCTGCCTTTGTTCAAATTGATGAATTTTATTCTCTACTGCTATAAGAAGAAAATTATTTCAGGTGATTCAGTAGTTTTATACACAACGTACTATTTCTAGCCTCTTCTGAAAGTGCATAGTACACAATGCTGTGCCCCAAATGAAAAGGATCTAGGGTCTTGTGAGCAGGAATTGATGCTTTTATGCTTTTGCTTTCTCTTCTAGTTCAGGATACAATTCAGGTTCAGGTATTTATCACACATAAAGCTGGTCTGTAAATCTTTAAAATTTTGTATACATTTATAGCAGAAAAGGCACTTCTGTATACTTTTGAGGATTTGAAAGCCGCGACTAAACCTTCATGCTACACAATATCCATTTGTTGAGAGGATGCCATTAGACTATCAAGGGTTAAGAGCAAATCTTTCAGAGAAATGCATCCAATTTTTAATGTTACATAAAAGCTTTCGGTTTTATTTAGAAATAGGAATGCTTTTATTGTGGAAACTTAGAAGCTACTTTAGTTAGGCTTTATATTATAATATTACTCAGTGGCAATTTTTTTAAAAACCTCAAAATCTTAGAATATCTGTATACCTGCGGTTAACTTTCTGAAACACTGAAAAGGCTGAATTAAGCAAAAGAGTCTTTATCAGTTGGGGTGTGAGAAGTTAAGTCTTTTAAGTTGGTTCTACATGCGATTCCAAATAATGTCACCTCCGGGAGCTCACACCCCCCAAATATTACACTATACTGTATGTACTCCCAGCTGTCTTAACCTAGGTAGTGATATGTTCCAAACATGTTACTTTTATATGAAAGAAAAATAAACATACATGAAAGTCACCTACAAAATAAAGCCTTTTAGAAAAAAAATTTAAAGGCCTCTTTAAAAAAGAAAAAGGATATTCCCGTAATATGCATACATTCTCGAGACTGGTAAGAAAACACACTATTGTTGACTTTTTCAGCTGATTATAAATGTAATACAAAATTCAAATAGAAATGTGTAATATGAAAACAAAAATGAGAAAGGCTTGTGTATACTGAGACAGGAATATGAACTAATATTTTATCCACCGGGAAAATCTATTTTCCTGATATACTTGCTGGAAAGACAAATACATCTCTGGAAAAGGACAGAGTTTAGGGCACTGTTTGTGTACAACTTCAGGGGGAGCCATCTGCCTTAAACTCTGTGTCAACCTGTGCCCTCCACTCCCACCGGGATGTGCAGTGCACAGCCTGCCCAGCTGTGTGTGGCAGCCTTGATGGAGAAGTCAGGTCAGACTCATCAATGTGGAAACTTAGCCTGTTTTGAAGGCATCTGAAATAGTGGTGAAAGGACCACTGTTTGTTTGATGTTTTATGGAAAGGTTAACTCTGTTTCCACTAGGTTTTCTTTTTCAAAAGTTTCTTGGCTATTTTTTTTTTTTTTGATGATGAACTTTAGAATCAATCACAACCCTCCCTCTCCCATTAGATTTGAAGATTAATGTTGAAAGAACTGAAATTTATACACATCGTACCAAGTGAGAGGGAGACAGCGCAGCATGGTTTATCACAGCCTCACCAGTTCCTGCTG